TACTACTACTACTCCCGCCACTGCTACGAATGCTGCTGCCGTTGCTACTACGACTACAGCTGCGATGTGTCACTATCATTAGGTTGTGATGACTGCTGATTATAATGTGCAGCATGATTGCAACGTTAGCAGCATTATTATCCTCAGCATTGTGTCAAGCCTAGCTCTCTCTACTAATGACTAATCTTTCTTCAGCTCGGACGGCCTGCTGTGGCTGCCTGTGTGCGCTTGCAACTCGAGCCACCAACCTGGCTGCTCAGCTGGCTGTGTGGGTTCAGTATATGCTTGTGAAGGGGTTGGAGTCGTTTATACTCTGCCTCCACACTTTGCAAGACCAGAGAACGTTCATCTCTTCGCTGATCCGAGCCACGGATCGCGCTCCGCGTGCTCGGCGCGCATGGCTCTCGCTGCGCCGGCGCAGGCGGTGGGCGCATCCGCAGGACCGCTTGGAGTGTTTAGCTTCAAGCAGTTTCTTACGGGGTTGGGTCCCAGGGATGAGGGCTAGGGCTCGGTGCGGGTAAGTATTGATCAAGCTTCTGCGGGCTGAGGGCTTGGCCGCTCTGGTGAGCGAAAAAAAAAATCTGTGCAGTGGTCATCATCGGATCCCAGCAAACTGCTGCCTCACGAATGCACTTCCACGGCTTGTTTGTGTTTCCGCCGCCAGGTTCAGTAAACCGATGAAGAAAACCATGAACACTTCTGCTCGCACGACACCCAAAACTCAAACATGCCACAAGCTCGAGGGTAGTGGTTTGATCTAGCTATGGGAGCAGTTTTGAAGGTGGTTCTGTTGTTGAAGCTATGACCCTGATCCAGATCATAGCTATGGCTATCTTCACATTTGGCGCCGGACTTCGTCTGCTTGCCTCTGTAATGAGACTGCCCCGTGATTCTGTTCTCTCGCACCGAACTGACCATTCTCCGTTGTGTGTCTCCAAGACTACTGTAGTTGTAAATGCTTTTGTGCTTTGTATTGCCACCGCTGTTAATGATCACGTTCTGGTGCCTCGATCTCTATGTTCCGCAAGTGTATCTCACCTTCCTCAATGACCCGACACACGACCCAAGACTTCAACGGCCGCGCAACCGTCAACAGTAAGAATGCCCGAACTTACGACTCGAGCCTTGAATATCAAACTTGCAGCCCTCGGCCCTAACAACACAAGTGCTGAAGCCCGGGCAGCACCCACGTGGAGATGCCAAAAGCGCTCCTGTGCTACGTATGACCATTATAGAACCAACTGATGCCTGTAACCCTATAAAATAGGAAATGTCCTGCACTCCAGCATGGACAAGGTCAGGATACTGAACATATCTGTAGCAGCACGAGTGGCAGTAGCAGCAGCAGTAGCAGCAGCAGCAGCAGTAGCAGCAGCAGTAGCAGCAGCAGCAGCAGCAGTAGCAGCAGCAGTAGCAGTAGTAGCAGCAGTAGTAGTAGTAGTAGTAGTAGGCTCCATTACCCTCGTTTGCCGCACTTTGGGGGTGGGGTTGGGGGGGAGGGGGGGGGGGGTCCGGGGAGATGATGACGTCTTGATGCCATACATCCGCATGATGATGTGCTCATTGATTGATGTCGTCACTACTGCTGGTCCTACTCCAGCCACTACGGGTTTTCTACTGCTGCTGCAGCTGCTGCTCAGGGCTTACTGTTTCAGGGTTTGCTGTTTAAAAGAAAAGGGGATGATGACGTCTTCATGCTCTAGTAGTAGTAGTAGTAGTAGTAGTAGTAGGAGTAGGAGTAGGAGTAGGAGTAGTAGTAGTAGTAGTAGTAGTAGTAGTACAGTGTGTCTGAACCATGGTTCGCAAAGGGCGGCAACACGACATGTCGTTTTGGTCGTTTGGGTTGGACCAAAACGGCACGTCGTTTTGCCCTTGCAAACGATCAGCCTAAACAACCGAAACATCCACAACGACCAAATCCCTAGACCCCTCTAAACCAAAACGATCTAAGCGATCAAACACGGAATTAATAAAAGCCGTAGTGGTAGTAGTAGTAGTAGTAGCAGTAATAGTTCGCAGTAGCAGTTGCAGTAATAGTCTCAGTGCAGTAGTAGTCGTGTTAGTCGCCGTCGCCGTAGCAACAGTCGTAGTCGTGGTCGTACTAAAGTATCAACCGCTACCACTCTTACAACAACTACAACAACAACTACTACGACGACGACTACTACCACTACTACTGCTACTACTACTACTACTACTACTACTACTACTGCGATTGCGGTAGCTGCTAGTGCCAGTGCTACTGCTACTGCTACTACTACGACGACGTCACGCCGGAGCCAACAACAACAACAACTGCTACAACGACGACGACGACGACTACTACTACTTCTAGAACTAACATCAACTACTACTACCGCCGCTACTGCTACTGCTACTGCTACTGCTACTACTACTACTACTACTACTACTACTGCTACTACTACGCCTACTGCTGCTACTACTACTACTACTACTACTACTACTACTCCTACTACTACTACTACTGCTACTACTCTACTTGAGAGCCGCATGGGCGTGCATGCAGAGTGGCGAAAGCGCAAAGCCGTGCTCGGCAAGTACTCGGGGTGATCCTCAGCTACCGTTCAGGTCGATCCGTCGCAGGATACTTCTGATGTACAAAGAGCTAGCGAATGCTGATATGTACTATACTTCTTCCTTACTCGCAACGGCATAACTTGCTGCCACGACTATGTTGCAGGCTTGGGCTAGAGATCTGGGATTCGGGTATTCTGCGTTCGGACAGCCTTTTGGAGGCTTCGCCTGCTCACAACCTATATGCTAGGTCCTGCTCGGTACCTCAACTAAGACATGTGACGCTGAACCCAGGGTCGTAATCCCACTGCTGGCTTGTGCCCCTTCGCCCGACACACCGACCTCGAAGGTGGAATCGCAAGCACTGCGAAACAACAACTAGGTACAGTCCGATACCGTAAACGCCGAGGACCAGACTTTTAGCAGCATAGGCCCTCTTACGGTGTCATTGTGTTCTGCGGCCAAAGCAAGGATGTCAACTACAGCGTGCGGGGTATTTGACGGAAGAGAATGAGCAGAACCTAGAAACTTCATTGGAGGCGCTGCTCTGTGCTATCGGGTCGTCGCTATCTCAATGTTGAGAAGCTTTTCTTCGAAGAAGCCAACTACCACATCTATGTAAAACCCAAAACCTACGAGACCCTCTCTGACGAAGGGAGCTCACCGAGGGCGCCGCGTGGGTGTGCGGCCTGCCAGACCGCGCCTGAGCGATCCGGCATGACTGGCTCTCGCAGAAAATAGGCAACAACCCAACCAACCAGAACCCAAGCAAGTCAAGGGTTCAGGGTCTAGGACTTGTGGGGGCAAAACGGTTTAGGATTTGGGGCAGAGTTTAAGGCTTACGGATACACGGAGTCCAGTATGCAATCGGTTTAAGAGGGCAGGGCAGGGCTTGATGAAGCTCCCTAAAAGAAAGGTCCTCATGCCTAAAACCGAAAGCTGCAGTCCTGCCCACGGGTTTCGACCAGCATTTCGGGCAGCTTAGAGGCCGGAGTCTGGAAACGCCATGTGAAGTTTAGGGTGTGTGTATATGAATAAAAACATATAAACATATATGCGCATTTGTGTATACACATGCATACCTTTATATATATATATATATATATATGGTACCCCCCCCATGGATCTACCGTTTTCGTGTGCTGGGTACCCCCCCCACCATACGAAAACAGTAG